GAAGATTACGTGTGATAAATTAATAGGATAGTTCTTTAAAAATAAAAAAGGGATTTTGTAAATTAGGAAAAATAATAATAAATTATGGAGAGAGGTGGAGGGGCGAAGAGTGGGGTAATAAGCGTGCGTGGATTATGCGTTAGGTGACTTTTAACAATGCAAAGGTGGCGTGAATTTGCATAAATTAAAAAATATATATATTATTATTGTTATTTTATAAAAATATTTAAAATATATATAATAACTTATTTAATATGTTTTTTATAGCAAACTTTTTATTTTAAATGAACATTAAAAAATCAATAAAAAAATCAAAAATAAAAATATAATTATATCATAAATTAACTAGGATTAACCAAATAAATTATCTATTTAATCTGAAATTTATTATATATAATATTTTTTATATAAAAAATTATTTTTCTTCTAAATACATGTTGATTAGCATGTATTTTTTTATAACAAATAATAATTTACTTTTATGGAAGGAAACAATTAGGGTCATTTGCAACACTTCAAAACAGAGTTTAAATTTTTTGAAAGTACAAAAAAAAAAGAATTTCTTACATAAAATAAAATTAAAAAAAGTTTTAAAAACAAACAAAGGGCTAGAAAGCACCTCAGATTAAAACAATAATAATTACCATATAAAATCAAATAATATTTTAATTAGATGAATCTAAAATAAAAAAACTCAAACAAGTTGTTTAAATCAATTTAAATCAACATGGTAGACTCGTAATCTTGGATCATAAAGTTGGGTTATCTTTATAAACAAATAAATTGAAAAAATTTATATTTTTAATAAAAATAATATTAAATGATAAAATTTAAAAAAATAGTTTGAAAAAAAAAATAATGTTGATTTGAGTTAACATCTCACATTTATAATCCAGGGTATAACAATTCTAAAGTTTATTGAATAAAAGAACATATTTATACTTATTCACACTAATTTTTATGTATATAATCTATTAAAATTTTAATAAAATTTCTCATATAATGAAATATCTTAAGTTATCAACTATGTCTCATTACATTTCTACATACAATATCAAATCTTGATTCAGTTTTTTTTTATCTCACCAAACATTAATAATACTCATCATTCTACTCCAAACATATTTGATTATATCCATAAATAATTATACAATCCAAGGAAGAATAAAATTTGAAATACAAGCATCCAAATCATGAAAACATCATATTAATAATTTTGTTTGTTAATAGTCATGCATGAATAATAGTTCGGACGTAATCAATACATAATTAAATAAAATTATAATTAATATAAAATATAATATATATTATTTTTTATTTATAATAACAAAACATGATAAAAAAAGATTACACACGACATAACTGAGAAAATCTTGAAAAATAAAAATAAAAAAAGGACCACACATGACATAAATGAGAAGACTATGAAAAACAAACATAATTATTATGAAAATGCAACAACTATAGTAATATGCAATCTTTTAAATTATTGATCATATATTTTTGTTTTGTTTTTATTTAATCATTATTCTTTATTCAACACAATCATATTGTCATATTTTTTTTATATTTAGTCCATCTTATTTCTTTTAAAAATCTATGATCTCCTAATGTTCTTTTTATACAATTACATTTCTCAAATCCTTAGTTTAGTTAATGCAAATAATTTTACCAGCATTATTAGTCTCATTTACTTGACATCGACTAATCAAAACTAGAAATTAGTGTCGATATTAATAAGTCCCAATGATATCATTAGTTATCATGGCCTAGAAAAACTAATTAATCCCTTTTCGGGTATTTTAAATCCATTATTTAAAAATATTGATGTTAAGAAACCTTTTGACATCATTAGCCTCCCTTAATAAGTAACTAATCAAGTTTTAATGGAAATAATATATTAATATAATTAATTATTCAACTACCTAGAATAATTAATCACGTTCTCTTAAATGTCTTAATTTTATTCATTCTTAATATTGATGTCAAGAGTCTTTTGACATTGTTAGTCTTCTTTTAAGAGTGGCTAATCAAATTCTCCTTTTGTATATTTTATTTTCTTCCATCATTTATTTATTTGTTTGTTGTCATAATAAAATCACAACAAATGAATAATTTTCAATACTAATATAATGTAACAATGTTATAAGTGTTGAGCACTTGTCTACTGTGTTAGAAACTCCCCCCCTCTGGCTTGAGTTAGTGACACAGCTATTAAGATATTTCATGTGAATTAATTTTGTCATTGATCAACGTTGCTTTTAATAGACTCAATAATAAATATCATTGTTATATTTAAACTTTCATTCTTGATGTTCCATTTTTATTTTTAACAGAATTAGTCATATATTGTATATAATTTCATCATTTAAAGTGTTTATTAATAATTTAAATGGTTGACCATACATAACTATTTCATTATATTTTCATCTTTATCTACCCTTCATGTATTCTAACTACACCATATATCATATATTAATAAAATCTTCATATTAACTTAAAACATGACTAATTTGACCCTCCTTTCATAATTATTGGTCAACCCTAAGAAATAAAAACATAAACTTGCTAATTTCTATAAATTTTCTTGCACGAGAACCAATTTCTTATTCTTTTATCCAACGATTTCTTTAATTACGTTAAATTCTCAATTTACTAACCTTGTCATCACCATGTAAAATAACATTAAATACTAAAAAAACATCATTTATATCATTATAACACAATTACAACACAATTTATAAAAGCTATCAAGAAAAAATATTATTCATTTCTTTATGTATGATTGGCCACCTAAGGCCTATTAGTCTTCCAATTTCTTTATTATTTCATCATAAATTTATTGATTTCATAATCTATAATGATCCTAAAAACCCAATTTTAAGATAATTTACCTTTATGATAAATTTCCACTTAGAATTCTAATTTCATTTTGCCAAAATTTTAATGAAAATCAAAAAATTTATATTTAAATTGACATAAAAACATTCTAAATATTCTACTAAGTTGTAATTTTAGTTTCGAATACTAACTAGTTTAGGTTTTCTTCGAGTCTCCTTTGTTCTCTCCTCCTTTCTTCACTCTATCTTCTAATCAATCTCTCACTCTCTCTCTATCTCTCTACAAATCCTCTCTAATCTTAGTGTTTCTTTTATTCAATCCTTTCTTAAACTCACTTTTGCCCTTAATCCCTCTTTTTCTAGGCATTTGCACAGGAATGTTTTTGAAATTTTTCATGTTGGCTTCTTTTTCTTTCCATGTATTTAACGTTGACCTTAAAGGAATAAAAAGAGAGATGAAAGTTTTCAAAATTTAAAAACTTGCTCCACAGATCTCTTAATCTATTTTTTTGGTTATTTTCCTAATCTTCTTCTAACATTTAATGCCCTCTTTATACTAAACTGGTCCAAATTCTCTTTTTTTATTTTCAAAATAATCTCACTAATTATTATTTATCTTATGATAATAAAATTCTCATAATGCTTTATTTACTCATTCTTTATTATTTTACAAAAATTTCTCTAAGCTTACACATGATATAAGACTGGAATTAAACCAACTAAAGACCAATGAAATATTGATAATTGAAACAAAAAAAAGAAATTTAATTTAAAAAAGTGATGGAAAGGAGGGGGAAACAATTAAAAGAATGAGAATACAATTCGATATAATAAATAAATAAAATAATGAGGGATCAAATTGCTAAAACATAAGTCAATTAAAAAATTGATATAAAAATAACAATTAAAAAGCATAGACCGAAAATGATATTAAATAAAATCTCAAGGGATGAAATTAAAAAAATAGTAATTAAAAGAAAAAAAAATTGAATTTGATATAAAAATCAAATCAAAATAAATTTTAAACGATGAAATTAAAAGGAGAAAAATAGCAACAAAGAGAATGAAGGCCAAATATAATATAAAAATCAAATAAAAATTTAAATGGGTGAAAATAAAAAGAAAAATTAATCAAATGAGGACTATAACTAAAATAAAAATAAAATCAAAGGGCACATTTCTTTTTTTCTCGGCCAACATGTATCTTGATGCCACGAGAGAGAAAAAAAAAGGAGAAAGAAAAAACCCGAGTGCCGTTAAACCACCGACAATCACAATACACATGTTAATTCATTAGGAGTATAGCCACTTTATTGGATCTAATGACATAATAATTTGGTGTTTTTGGCTACCAAAGCATGTTGCATGTGCTACTTGAATGTAGCAGCTCTTCCCTATAGATAAACACATTCTTTATAGATGATTGATATTTTTTTTATTATTAATTTTATACCTTTAAAAAGATTAAACTAACCCTTATTTGCAATGTTTATAATGTAAAAATCATGATAAAAAATCCCAAAATCCCTTAGATGTTAGTCTATAAAATTTTGAATACAAAAAATGAAAGTAATTACATCGGATATAAAAAATGAACCTACAAAAAAACCTTTCCATGGTAGTCTAATTGTTTTTACTATAAGGGTTTGGTATTAATTATATTGTGCAACGAAAAACAAAGTGATAGAAAAAAAAATCCTTATGAAAAGACAATCATATCCCTAAACCAATACTATTTTTATGAGTGGAGAGGTAAAATAATCATTTAATCAAAGCAAACCATAATAATTTATGTCTGTTACTACAGTAAAATAACTATATCTTATAAAATTCATGTTAATTATAGTTTATAGATTTGATTTAAGAATTAACTTTTAAAAAAAACCTCAGCTGTAAAGCATGAGATAAATCAAAAACCAAGCTAAATAAATCAAGGTTATCACTTCCATTATGATTGATGTTATGTTTTTCTTATTGAAATGATAATCGTTTATTCTAAAGCGTGTGTTCAATACAAACATTGTAGAGGACCAAAATGAAAGAAACCAGGTAAAAAAGGCAAAGAACAAAAAAAAACAAGGACTAAAAGGGAACTAGAAGGAAAAGGGGAGGAGGAAAGCAAAAACAAAAGCAGGCGAAATAAAAAACTGAAACACTGCTGTTCCAGGTGAAAAAGAACAAAAAAAGAGTTGCAAGAAACGACGTCGGTTTTTCCTGGGAGAACAGTTTAAGGAAAAGAATTTAAGCTGAAGCGTTACCGTTTCATCCTAGGTTAAGCCATGCTTCCCTTTCTTCCCCCTCCGCTGGTCTTCTTCTCTCCTACTTCAAGCGATGGCCATGGCATTGAAGCGGCAAAGTGTTGTAATGGCCGTTTATTCTTCAGCTTCAACCCTTTTAGGGTTTCATTCTCAGCGAAGCCAAACTGAAATGGGTATGATTTGCTGTCTTCATGCTTCCACTATGAGTCGTAGTCGTAGTGGTAGGCAAAAGTACCAAAAGGGATGTTCTTTTACAAACATTGAAGATGCCTTGTTTTCTTTCAACCACATGATTCATAAGCATCCCCTGCCTTGTATTGTTGAATTTGATAAGTTATTGTCAGCTCTTGTTAGAATCAAACATTATGGGACTGTGCTTTCTTTGTCCAAACGAATTGAATTGCTGCGGATTGAACGTGATGTCTTTCATTTTAACATTTTGATCAATTGCTTCTCTCGCTTGCAACGTGTCGATTTTGCCTTCTCTGTCTTGGGAAAAATCATTAAGCTTGGTTTTGAACCTGATGCTGTGACTTTTTCTAGTTTAATTAATGGGCTTTGTTTTGAGGATAAATTTGCTCGTGCTATGGAATTCTTTGATGAGATTGTGGCGAGCGGATATCAACCCAATCTACATACTTATAATACGATTATAAAAGGTTTTTGCAAGATTGGGAAAACCACCGTCGCTGTTGGATTGCTCAAGAAAATGGACAAGGTGGGTGGCCGACCGGATATTGTAATCTACAATACAATTATTGATGGCCTTTGCAAGGATAGACTAGTCAATGAAGCTTTAGATATCTTCTCTGAGATAAAGGGTAAAGGCGTTCGGCCTGATGTATTCACTTATAGTATCTTAATGCATGGTCTATGCAATTCAGACCAGAAGGAAGAGGCTTCAGCATTGTTCAATGAAATGATGAGTCTGAACATCATGCCAGATGTAGTTACCTTCAATATTTTGGTTGATAAACTTTGTAAAGAAGGCATGCTTTCAGAGGCTCAAGGAATAATCAAAATAATGATTGAAAAGGGTGTGGAGCCTAATTATGCGACTTATAATTCATTGATGAACGGCTATTGTTTGCAAAACAAAGTTTTTGAAGCTAGAATGGTATTCGATGCAATGATAACCAAGGGCTGCATGCCTAATGTTGTTAGTTACAACATCTTAATCAATGGATATTGTAAGGCCCAGAGGATAGATGAGGCAAGAGAACTTTTCGATGAAATGAGTTTTCGAGGCTTAATTCCTAACACTTTTAATTACAACACTCTTATTAGTGGCTTGTGCCAAGCAGGGAGACATTGTGAAGCAAAAGAGCTTTTCAAGGATATGCAAGCCCAGGGCTGCTCCCCAGATTTAGTAACTTGCACAATTTTGCTCGACAGCTTATGCAAACTAGGGTATCTTGATAATGCATTGAGATTGTTTAGAGCAATGCAAGATAGTTGCTTGAAACCTAATTTGGTAACCTATGATATCCTGATTCGTGCCTTGTACAAATCCGGGAATCTTAAAACTGCAAGGGAACTGTTTATGGAATGCACATTCAATGGATTGCAACCTGATGCTAGGGTATCTACTGTAATAATAAATGGACTTTGCAGAGAAGATTTGATAGATGAAGCATACAAAGCTTTCAGAAAAATGGAAGAGGATGGCTGTCCACCAGACGTTTGCTCATACAATGTTATTGTCTGAGGATTTCTCCAGAACAACGAGAAGATTTTGATAGATGAAGCATGCGAAGCTTTCAGAAAAATGGAAGCGGATGGCTGTCCTCCAGATGTTTGCTCATACAATGGAATTGTCTGAGGATTTCCCCAGAACAATGAGAAGATTTTGATAGATGAAGCATGCGAAGCTTTCAGAAAAATGGAAGAGGATGGCTGTCCACCAGATGTTTGCCCGTACAATGTTATTGTCTGAGGATTTCTCCAGAACAACAAGAAGATTTGATAGATGAAGCATGCGAAGCTTTCAGAAAAATGGAAGAGGATGGCTGTCCACCAGATGTTTGCCCGTACAATGTTATTGTCTGAGGATTTCTCCAGAACAACAAGAAGATTTGATAGATGAAGCATGCGAAGCTTTTAGAAAAATGGAAGAGGATGGCTGTCCACCAGACGTTTGCCCATACAATGTTATAATCTGAGGATTTCTCCAGAACAACGAGAAGATTTGATAGATGAAGCATGCAAAGCTTTCAGAAAAATGGAAGAGGATGGCTGTCCTCCAGATGTTTGCTCATACAATGTTATTGTGAGGATTTCTTCAGAACAATGAGAAGATTTGATGGATGAAGCAGACAAAGCTTTCAGAAAAATGGAAGAGGATGGCTGTCCACCAGGTGTTTGCCCATACAATGTTATTGTCTGAGGATTTCTCCAGAGCAACGATGCATCAAGGGCAGAACAACTTATTTTGTTTATGCTCATTTCTGAGTTGAGCAATGAAAGCTGTTTAATTCTTCTCTAGATGATTAGACGTATTTGGATTTTCATAATAAGTAACTTTGAAGATGCTCTTGGCTGCAATTTGCGTGGATGCTACCTTTCTTTTGCAAATGAAAACAAATAAATATGCAAAGCACTTCCACTGAGTTTTATTTTATTTATACATTTATTTATTGTTTTCAAATAGCTTTTTCTGTTTGCGGAATACGATTATATGTCATTTTGTTTGTTGAATACATGTACGGTATGTTCTCAAGAAAAAAACTTTGTAACTTGAAGTTTTATACTGTTCAGCGGGAATTAAACTTCTTGTGACTGACAACAGGAGGAGTTTTGATATAATTTTGATTTGCACAGGATGATTGAGATCATGTGTACAGGGGGACATAGGATGGCCATTTATGATTATTTTGGCAAATTGCTGGTATAATTCTGTTTGAAGCTGAGGCATTGATACGCTTGCTGGCAGTAATACTATAAAAACATCCAATACTAAATGCTTGATGCTTCTGAAATCGAGAGTTAAACTTCTTTGTAATTATTTTGAAGCAAGGGTGTAGGCAGTGGAGCTTGGGATGGCTGATAGAAATAAGACTCTACTCTGTCAAGCAAGGGAACTGACATCAATCTGGCGAGACAAGTTTTGAATGAAGTTTCTTTGCGGATAAACGTGAAGTTGCTTACAACTTTCAGGAATGATACTCTGTGACAAGCGTTTGAATACGTGATTTGATTACATTTGAAAATAACTTGAAACAGTTCGTTAGTTTTCTTTCCATGATTTTTCTTCTTTAATCTTTAAAACAGGAGTTGATAGGAATTACAAGGAGAATATACGCATGAAGCAAAATATAACGACTGTATTTTTGCTACTGTTCCTTTGAAAGGCAGGAAATTGGACATAAGCACCCGAATTGAGAACACACAATCGTGATTTAATCAAAACTTGCAGTTCACCTAAAATCATGCAAGACAAATTGAGGGGACTTGACTTTTTAGTTAAAATCCTAGCTTAACTTTAAAGGGTTGCTCTCGTAGTTGAGGAGGATGCATGTGTTCTCTCCTCTCTCTCAGACATCCCCTGCCTTTCTCTCCATTTTCACCGCACGAGCTATTCATTGTGCATGCACATAGATATTTTTTCGATTCCCAGCGCCCATCTCACCCACTAATTTTCAAATGATATATTCCCTTGTATAATCTCCACAAATATACATTTTTACACAAGTTGGTGCAATCTTTTCTAACAGAAAATAGAAAATGCAGCCACGCATCATATTTTATGTAAATTAGGCTTTCTTTTCTCGACCAATAGTTATTTTTAACCATCATAATATATACCAAACATGTTACTAATAAAGCATAGACACTATTTTTAATTATAAGCATTAATATTTTCACTTGTCAATTTTCATGCAAATTCAAAAAAATCCAATATAACTAAAGCCTATAAATATATTGGATTGCTGCATAAACAAAATAGGTTCAAGTCATAATTTTATATATTGGATTGCTGCATAAACAAAATAGTGTCTATCAAATTCAAGTCATAATTTCATTTTATCAAATTCAACACTTGCATTTTCTCATTTATTATTTTTTAAATATTCACTAACTTAAATATTAAAAAATCATTCCGTTAAAAACCTATTATAAGGAATTTATTTTTACAACACAACCAATTTGATAACTAATTCAGTTATTAAGTACAACTGCGTTTTAAAAGTATTTTTAAAAAAATTAATTTTTTTTAAATTAATATACTTTTAAATTATTTTGATGTGCTGATTTGAAAAATAATTTTTAAAAATAAAAATATTATTAATATATTTTTCTAAATAAAAAATATTTTAAAATATAACTACAAACATATCTTCAAACATATTTTTAGTGTATAATCAGTCTCGCATATCTTGCCTAGGATAATATCTCATGAAACGTGAAGTTTTTTTCGTCATCTCTTACAATAAGGTGGCAAATCAGTTTGAAGAAGTTGGATCATCGAATAAAAGATTGTGATGGGCATTCATTCCCACAAAACAAAAACAAAAACATGGCCATTTGACCAATAGTGACATTGCATGAGATAAGAAATTGAAGGTCGTTGTGATGTCGAACTCTAGGTACGGGCAGCTTGATGATTCCGGCAGGTTCATGAACCTTACAACCTCACACGGGTCAATAATGGAGCCTGGAGGCTGCCTCCAAAACGCTGAGCTGCTGTCAATAATGGAGCCTGGAGGCTGCCTCCAAATTGCTGAGCTGCTGTTCATGTTATTTAATATATATATATTTTTTTTTGATTTACGTGGGGTATCCGGGCCAACTTGCGCGCAACACGACTAATTTCCACGGCCCACTGAATACCCTACAAACCCAGCAGGCAGGTAAAGCAGCACGGGACTAACAGACATGTAACTCCAAGGATCGAACCTGTGTTAGTGGAAGAAGCAAACACTTCTGCTAGGCTAATGCCGTGGTGCTCATGTTATTTAATATTGTTCTTCTTGGAAGGTGACTCTTTAGGAGCAAATTATTAAAATCGGCACGTGTCGAATCAAACTGTCTAATATAACTATACTATTCAGCTGACAATTTATTTGTTTATTTATACTGCTGGGGATGATTTAAGACGGAGGGGAGGGGGGTATATATGTAAAAAGCAGCATATCCATTCTCTTATTATTCAATATTATCTACACTAAATGATGAATATTTTCTTACAATAAAAAATATTCTTACGTCATTTTTTATCGGTCGTAAATAAATTTCATTTTCAGTTGATCATAAAAGTAGGCCCCTCTCACCAACCTAATATATTTAAGACAAAATTATTAAATTTCATGGAATTCCAATAACGCTACTGCCTCAAATTTCTGATCACCGGAATCGTGCACTTCACGCGCCGAACGTGCAATCTTTCATTGCCTTATGGAGGAGCAAAAGCCAAATCTCCACTTGTCCGGAGAAAGAAAATCGAACTTGATCCATAGCGCGTGACTTCACCGCGGATTATACAAGCTCTTATCTTAATTCCTAAAACGACCCTGCTTAAAATACAGGGTCAAAACGAACCAGAGAGCGAGTACAGAGAGAATTCTATATCTTAGGAGTGAGGTTCTTTTCTATGTGGTGAGTGTACGTTAGTTATTTGTCTTAATTCTTATCTAACAGCCACTTGGGCCACATTAAACCGCCAAGATAAAAATAAAATAAAAACGTGCATAAAATAAAGAAATTCTCTAATGTCACCTGCAATTTACCATTGTAGGTCCCTTCTCCTTTCAATTCCTCACCATTCGAGATGTTGAAGTTATTTGTAAGCAGTTGTTTTTAAATAATTTTTTATGTTAAAATATATATTTATAATTTTTTATTTTAAAATTATTTTTTATTTTAGTATATTAAAATAATTTAAAAATACTAAAAAATATCATTTTTAAAGTAAAAAAATATTAAATTTTTTCAAAAATATTTTTAAAATACATAAATAAACAAGACCCAACCATCAAACTAATTTAAAATTTATAGATATTCAAACTAATTTCACCTTTTTACAAATGAAAAATAAACCACCCATGCAATAACTAAGAAAAACGTGATAATTTATGATGTTGAAATTCACTCATATTCATCAAATTTGAAATTTTGTTTATCAAAAGTTATTTTAGGTAAACCTTTCTTTTTCCACTTAAATATTTTTCTTTTAAAAGCATACCATTTATATAAAAAATTTCAACTTCAAGCCCAATTACATTAAATTAACATTTTATTCCAAGCCATTCATACCAAAACAATTGAGAAATTAGATTTATATAAATCATATTTGTTAAACTCAGCAAAATTGATGAATTAATATAAAAATTTTGAAACTTATAATTTAATCTAGATTGAGTTTTATCTTAATCAAATAAAATATGATTTCACCAAACCTAATTAATCTAGTTAAATTATTATTTATTTAAAAAATCAAGATTAAATAAAATATTATCGTTTTAATAAAAATAAATCATTCGGTTTTATTTAAATAACCTATATGTTAATCCAATAATTAAATGAATTATATTATTTTTTAAATATTTCTAAATTATATACTTGAAAATTTTTAAAGTACCTGAAAAATAACTAACAATATTTTATTAGTTATATCTCAAAGCACAATTCAAAAAATAAAATAAAATATATTATAATCATGATTTTTTTTCTTCTTTTTATATCTATCCATAGCATGGGTCTTTTTCTTAGCCTACAAAGTGACTAAAAAAATATATCCGACAACTACGATTTCACTATTCCCTTTCACTTGACTAGTCTTCCACGTCATTGGTCTGTTATTTAATGCAAAGTACCCAGTCACACCGAGCATTTTTTTTTTTTGTAGTTTTCCAAGTTATTCTGAGAAGACTTACGTGTTAAACTTTGAGGTCACGTTTCTCCTACATAAATCATTACAGTTCCTCGCTTTCTTGTCTAAATTTCTCACTTTTCTCTCCAAAATTGTCTCAAGAAATCTCTTTACTCAAGTTTCCCGCAGATTCTCAGCATTAAATCACAGAACCCGAAAGGCCAGCAGAGCCCATTTTGCCCTTGCTGGCTTTCGCCTACCGAATCTTGATCTTGATTTGATTAGATTAGGTTCTCTTCATTTAATCTAATCAAAAGCATTAACTCCATTTCCTTATTTATCACTGAGCCTCTTCTTTCCTTAGTCCTCCAAATTGAATGCTTAATCACTGTTTCATTACCTACTACCAGCCCTTCCTTTTAATCTGCTAGCTTTTTTTTTTCGCTTGCTGGCATTTGATTGGTTGAAAGAGAGGGAAATGACGATCCAGTCCTCACCGGGAAGTTCCGGTTTTTTGCCGGGAAGTTCAGGGTATTTAGACATGTTTCCGGAGAGAAGAATGTCGTATTTTAGTAATTCTTATGTAATTGGATTGACGGTTGCTGCTGGCATTGGCGGTCTCCTTTTCGGCTACGATACTGGTAAAAGTTTATTTTCTTTTGCAATCTTTATGGTCTCCGGTTTTCAGTCTGGTAAGAAAAAGAATCAAACGTTTGGTTAACTTTTTTTTGGAAAAATAAGCAAAGGGGTGTTTTAATTTATTAAAGATTAGATGGTGTGTTGTTTGATGAGGAAATGTTGTTTATGCAGGTGTAATTTCAGGGGCTCTTTTGTATATAAAAGATGAATTTGAGGTGGTTAATCAGAGTAGCTTTTTACAGGTAATGATTTTTGTCATTTCTTGCCAAAGATTTAACTTTGCGCTGCTTCTTTGACGGGGTTTATAAAAAAAGTGAGAATCAAGTAGAGCTGCATCTGTAATGAGAAATACTTTAATTTCTGAACGAGAAATGAGAAATTCCTGAACTTTTGAATGATGATAACTATAATAAAACGATGATTTTGTTATAAATCTGGAGGTCTTGATTGGTTATCCATCATCGTAATGATTGTTCCACTTCACAGGGAACAATTTTTCGTATGGAAATTTGTTGGTGAAATGAAGGGTTTCTGCTCTTGCTAAAGATTTAATCTCTGTTTTTTTGTTTTGGGATTTTTCAGAAAAGCAAGCAAAACTGCTTAAATAGGAAGCAGAATTATCTATAGTCAAAACTACTACCATTACCAAATGGAAAATAGTGAAAATAGTAGAACTACTAAAAATTTTAATGATAAAAAAGAAGACAAATGGTTATTTTTTGATCTGGAGGTTATCCATCATAATGATTTTTTTAACTTGGCAGGAAACTATTGTCAGTATGGCATTGATTGGTGCAATAATAGGAGCTGCAGGAGGCGGTTGGATCAATGATGCGTATGGACGCAAGAAAGCTACCCTTCTTGCTGACGTTGTCTTTGCTGCTGGATCCGTTGTTATGGCGGCTGCCCCGAATCCCTATGTTCTTATATTGGGACGGCTTTTTGTTGGCCTGGGTGTCGGTATAGCATCTGTTACTGCTCCTGTGTATATTGCGGAAGCATCTCCTTCAGAAGTAAGAGGAGGATTAGTAAGCACAAATGTTCTTATGATTACCGGTGGACAGTTTCTTTCCTATCTTGTAAATCTTGCCTTTACTGAGGTCAGTTTATCTGTCATTATTTCGCAGTTTGTTACAATACAGTTCAGGGTCCGCCTATAAAGCATTTTTCCATTGAAGATACTGATTCTCTGCATTTGAAAATGTATATCATGAAATTCCAGTATTCTTTCTATCTGATGCGGTTTGCAAGAATGTTTCTTTTCATGTCCACTTGGTTTTCTAAATGTTGTAAAAACTTGTGGTCCAAATTGTTAGTCGTAAATTATTTTTAAACAAAAGACAGTTGTTACTACTCTTTATAATGTTCTAGGTCAGAACAAAGCTATTTCATATAGATGTTTTCTTGTTGAAGTAGTTCAAAATTATTCATGAGGTTGTCAGAGGAGGAGCCCAATAGCATTGGGTTGTTTCTACATGATCAAAGTTTTCTCCCCGCTATGTTCAATTATAAAATGGAAAACGGGAATGTTTAATTAGTTCTTAGAGTGGGGAGCTGTGGAGGGAAATTATATAAGTAATTGGCAGAAGATCATGTGATCTTGAGAGTACAAAATTCTAAATTCTATTTACTAAGCAAATCTCTTTCTAATGGCTTCTCTTGAGTGACAAATTGCTGCAACTATTCTACTTCCCAATGCTGAGTTATTGCCTAGAGAAATTGTGTTATTTTCATTACATTTACTCTTGTGTGAAAGGTTTCACATTGTGCAGCTTTGAAGAGACAGCAAGATATAATTTGGGGGTCCTTTTTAAGATTTGGCACTGAGAAACATCATTGAAGGAGTCTCCTTCTCTTTCCTGCCTAATTTAGATCATCCATGGTGCCCTGGTTGTTAATGGCATGTGACACATTCCTTTCACCTCAAAATCATCTTGATAACAAGATCACATAGTATTTATGCATAAATCTGGTTTTACTTATTGTTAGTATGTACTTGCTCATATGTAGTAAACATATTGACAATATAATATAATATAATAACATGGATTTTTTTTTTTCCCTGGAGGCACCTTTGCTAGGTTTCTGTATTTTACTTCCACTATTTATAGAAAAATAATTTGAATGAATTGAGACATGTCTTGAGAATTTTGCTTTTTAGTAAGAGAATTTTTTGTGAACATGAACCATCCTTTTCTTATCAGAAACTCCTGGAAACTGTTAACATTAGAGCTCCTTTCTTCACCTTCTGAGTGATAGTTGATGACTCTATGGAGGACGGTCTTTTTTCCCTCTGATACAGAGTTTGAATGGCATTGGCTATTGATGAATTTCTCGCATGGAAAAACTTTTGGGCATTGGCTGTTAGATTCTGGTGGGTGTTTTGGATTAGATCTGAAGTCATATTCTCTGAATTATATTCATTAAGGGCATGGTATGGTCCTAGGTCCCTTGCATAAGCCTAGTGATATACTTAGTTAGCCTTAATAAATTTTAAACTAACAATGACACAATGTAATAATATCCAAGTTCTTGAACCGATTTAGTTTAAAATTTTTGTTGGCTCTGCCTTAACATCAAGGCTAAAAGAGAACTCGTGGAGAATATTAAGCATAAATAACAGTATTTAGAGTATGGTCTCAATTTTAATACAGGAGAAAATTGCTTTAGGTTGATGCACTACTTTGAATGTTTAAACTTGTGAAATCTACTCAGAAAATGGATAAATTCTTGGGTTGAATTAAAATCTTATTTGCTTCACAAATTTGGAAATAATTTAATTTCATTGAAAATAAAAAGGAATAAAATTCTTGGGCATTGTACTTTAAGACTATTTTTTCCCATCCTAAATGGCTTTCTAACGTTTTTATTGCTTCTATAGGTCCCTGGAACTTGGAGGTGGATGGTTGGAGTTGCTGGTGTGCCCGCTGTGATTCAGTTCTGCATCATGTTATGCTTGCCAGAGTCTCCTCGGTGGCTTTTCATGAAGGTATACACAACAAGGATACTTTTTTGAAGAAAATATTTTCTGAATTCTGTTTTGACATAAGCTTTTTTCTTTTCATGTATTTACATCTAAATATCATTGATCTTAATATGCAGGACAACAAAGCTAAAGCCATTGCAATACTTTCTAAAATATATGACGTTGCTCGGTTACAGGATGAAATTGATCACCTTTCTATTACTGAAGAGGAAGAGTGCCAGAAAAGGAATGATGTCAAAATCTCAGATGTGTTCAAGTCAAAAGAAATCAGACTTGCATTTCTTGTTGGGGCTGGACTTCAGGTAAAAGATCTGGCAAACCCCCTTATCTACTAAATTGCATCTCTGGCCTTAGAATGACTGACATTGATCGTTTGATGTGCTGCTAATACAAGCTGGCATCCATGCATCATCACTAATGTGCGAACTTGCAATCAATTTATAAACCAGGTTCTATTTTTTTTGCCCATCTGACGGTAATTCCCATGAGGAAACTAATAATTTTTTAAATTAGCAGTTTAATCTGTTGCTTTAAGATGGCATCACTAATAGTACTTTAACAAGATGCTGAACCTCTTTGCTCTTTCATAGGGTTGGACTATCTTCTTATTTTTCTAAATATGAAAAGTAAAAATCAATGTTTACTGGGTTCTTTTCTGGCCCATGCCACGGAGATGGACACTTAGTGGAGTTGATATAGAAATTTTTTGGTGTAGAGCCAGTTGACTGCCATTTTTTTGTCCTTTGATTCGCTTGCTGGTTACTGAATATAGAAATCTGGTGTTCTATCAATTTTGGAGTGCTTTGATGCAAAGGTCCATGCCTAACTCCTCCTCTACAAGAAATAGAATTCGTATGTGTGAGCTATCCATCATCTTTTATCTGTATTGAGTCCCTTGCTGCTTATTGACCGTACATTTGGGTAATCATACGAGTTTTAAGTGCTTCTGGCATTGTGACAGTGTTTGAAATATGGATCATCTGATATTCTTTCCATTGAAATACACTAGTGTCCAGGTGAAACACAAAAGGAGGCATGAGCTAACAAAATTGCAGCAGTAAAAAGAACACCGTCCTTAACAAGCATCATAACAAATAATAACCGAGAGTTCTGTGATGTTGCAGGCTTTTCAGCAGTTCACTGGTATCAACACAGTCATGTACTATAGCCCAACCATTGTGCAGATGGCTGGTTTTAGTTCCAACCAATTAGCACTTCTCCTGTCCCTTGTTATCGCTGCCATGAATGCTGCGGGAACGGTTCTTGGCATTTACCTTATTGATCATTTCGGGAGGAAAAAGTTGGCCATCTCAAGCTTAGCTGGTGTAATTGCATCACTTTTCATTCTTGCTGGAGCATTTTTTGGCAAGTCATCTGGTTCTTCAGATGAACTCTATGGGTGGATTGCAGTTTTGGGGTTAGCCCTGTATATTGCTTGCTTCTCACCAGGAATGGGACCTGTTCCATGGACTGTGAACTCAGAGATATATCCCGAACAATATCGAGGAATATGCGGGGGCATGTCAGCTACTGTTAACTGGATCTCCAATCTGATAGTAGCCCAAACTTTCCTTTCAATTGCCGAAGCAGTAGGAACAGGTTCGACTTTCTTGATGCTTGCTGGCATAGCAGTGCTCGCAGTTGTGTTTGTGATTATGTATGTCCCAGAGACCATGGGGCTGGCATTTGTTGAAGTTGAGCAGATTTGGAAGGAGAGGGCATGGGGCAGTAGTTACAACACAGAAAGCCTTCTTGAGCAAGGAAACGACAAATGAGTCTCAGTAGGTGCCGTGCGCACTTGCTGAGCTTGATAATATCAGCGCCAAATTGTAGGTTTATAAAACAATCTGTATGTACTGGAGCTATAACTAAATCTGCTATGCCTGTAAAATCTTGTGCATGAAGATGCTTTGAATCCAACCCCACTGCATGAGCAGAAGCCCCCCACTTTCATGTAAAATTAATTCATGTACGTACTCTGAAAAGCCTGGAGTAACAGGCTTTAGTTTTACCATGGTAATGATGAAATTGACAGCACACTTGTTTTTACTAGCATTAAACCTCACACATTACATGTTATTTGATTTCAGATATTGGATCAATATTGTCATCAATCAAACCATAAGGACAAGAAAAATGACTGGTAGTTGAAGTGTAGGGTAGAACCATCTACCTTCCCTTCCAATTGCATACGTAAGCCAATACATATGAAAATTGTCGTATTTAAAAAAGATTGAATTCATTTTATTTAATTTTTTTATATTATTTATTTTATTTCTTTAAATATCTCTAAGAAAATAATAAATAGGTGTTTTGAGAAGGTTAGTTTTAAATTTAAATTTTTTATTTTAGAATTGTAAATCAAAGGAGTGGCATCTATTTATTTTTTTATCATTTCTAAAAATTAAATTCTATTTAGAATTTCATTATTGATACTTAAAATGGTTTAAAACATGAAATTTTATTAAAATTTCTAAATTGAATTTAATTTAAGGGATTTGAAACATCTTTATAACGAAAATTGTACTCCTTTCTCTCACGTAAGTGAAATTCATAAAAAAAATCTAGGAAATACAACATTATGATCATCAGATCAGCAGTGGTTTTTTCGGACCACACAATTTGGACAGAAAAGGCATACATATATGCAGGCAGGAGAACTCCTATACGACAACGAAAAGCGCAAAGACTGGTTTTGTTAATTAGAGAAATGGAGAAGCAAGAAAGAATCTGTCATGTAGTGGTCATACCTTATCCTGTTCAAGGTCACATTAACCCCATGATCCAGTTCTCCAAGCGCCTAGCCTCCAAAGGACTCCAAGTAACACTGGTCATCTTCTCAAGCCAGACGCTCTCGACGCCTGCCTCGCTTGGCTGTGTCAAAGTGGTGACCATTTCTGATGGTTCTGATACAGGCAGCCGTTCCATAGCTGACCTTCTAAAACAATTCCAAGCTACAGTGACACAAAAACTGTCACAACTCGTTGTGGAACTAGGTATCTCTTCTGGGCATCCAGTAAGTTGCCTAGTGTATGACTCATTCATGCCTTGGGTTCTAGAGATAGCTAGACACCTTGGCCTCACTGGGGCTTCCTTCTTCACACAGTCATGTGCTGTTAACTCTGTCTACTACCAAATCCATGAGGGGCAGCTAAAGATCCCACTAGAGAAGCTTCCTGTATCAGTTCCAGGGCTGCCACCTCTAGACGTTGATGAACTGCCATCATTCGTGCACGACATGGAATCAGAATACTCATCTATACTTACCTTAGTAGTCAATCAGTTTTTGAATTTCAGGGGAGCTGATTGGGTCTTTGTGAACAGTTTCAACCCCCTGGAGGAGGAGGTATCCCTGAAGAAGTTACATAAAGAAAAGTAGCAGTACTTCGAATTCCTAATTGAATTCTTTTTTCTCTGCTCTTACTAATAGATATTACCATATTTGCAAAGCATGCTGCCTTCAATTCTATGGTACTCAAGATTTTGCTTATTTGTATCAGGTGGTAAACTGGCTGGCAGGCCAGAGGTCAATCAAGCCAATAGGACCCATGATTCCATCAGTTTACTTGGACAGGCAGCTAGAGGATGACACCGAGTATGGCCTCAGCCTCTTCAAACCTGCTCTCGACGGTTGCATGGAATGGCTAGACGCAAAGGAAACTGGGTCCGTGGTCTACGTGTCATTTGGAAGCTTGGCTGCTCTGGGAGAAGATCAAATGGCAGAAATAGCCTGGGGCCTATGGAGGAGTGGCTGCTACTTCTTGTGGGTAGTCAGAGAATCAGAAGAGAAAAAACTTCCATGCAACTTTGTGGAGGGGTCCTCAGAGAAGGGTCTGATTGTGACCTGGAGCCCTCAGCTAGAGGTTCTATCTCACAAGTCTGTTGGTTGCTTCATGACTCATTGTGGGTGGAACTCAACGCTTGAAGCGTTGAGCTTAGGAGTGCCAATGGTAGCAGTGCCACAGTGGACTGATCAACCAACAAATGCGAAGTACATAGCAGATGTTTGGCGTGTAGGAGTTAGAGTGAAGGCAAATGAAAAGGGGATTGTCACTAAGGAAGAGTTAGAAAAGTGTATAAGGGAAGTCATGGAAAGCGAAAGAGGGAGTGAGATGAGAAGGAATTCTGAGAAATGGAAGAAACTAGCAAAAACAGCCATGGGTGAAGGTGGAAGCTCTGAAAAGAATATTACAGAATTTGCAGCAAAACTTGCTAGCAAGTTCAATGAAACCACAGATTCAAAAGCGTGAAAGCTATGCATGGCCTTAAAACTTGGAAAAATGCTTCTTCATCAATGTATTTTTCCTCGGTTATTTTATAACATTCAACGATAGTCGTCATATGAACTAGACAACGCAAAAGATCCAAATCATGTTTTCATGATGTAAAAAATAATATCATTTTACTCCATTTCAATCTCTTTTCTTCTTCTTATTTTTTAGAAAAAAATCAATTATAAACAAAAATGGATGGTTAAGATTTTCACTTTGATATATTACACATAAGATTTTTATTAACATGCCTGAGATTGTTCTATCAATTATCGATTATGATTTAGAAAGACAAGTCACAACCCAACACACATTCCCAAATGAGCATTAAAGATTGGACATTGATGAAAAAAATAAGTCAAAAAAATCAAATACCAAGTCACCATGAGCAAAATTAAACCACAATTTTGTGGTGAGGAGGAATTGGATGGAAATTCCCTAATATTTTTTGCTTCGCCAACTTATTCAGTCAAAACAAATATTAGTTTGACCGGTTGTCAAATTTAAGTGGACAGGAGTAGGACAAGTTGTTAATATTTTAATGAAAATAAATTATTCAGATTAACATAATAATTTAGATTTTTTTTTTCCGAGTCTGTTCTTGAGTTAGATCTCCTAACCGTGAGAAGGCCGTGAAAAATTATTGACTAAATAAAGAAATTAATAACTTTTACGTTGTAGGATAATGTTTTGAATATTACCAGAAAAATAAAGAAAACCAATAGGATTATCAATAAACTTTTTTTATCGGTAATAATTCTTGACAGACATAATTCTGTCAATATATACTGACAGCATAGATCCATCAGTGAAATAATTGGTATATACCGATTGTTTTGCCGACGGGGTATACAGTTTGTCTAGAAATATGCAACGACGTGGTGACGTCAGATGATTTTATCGACGGAATGATCGAGGGATTCAAACTGAGATAGTTGTACAGTGACGTGACACTTTCACTGATGAAATCACCTATGGAATCACCGACGGAAGTAATCCGTTGGTGATTCCATAAAAAAAACCATTATATACCCACTCAACTGTCGACACTCTCTTCCTCTGTTTCTTCTTCTTCTTCTTTTCCATCCCACCTCTCCCTTCCCAAACTGCAGCCAACCATCCATCCCAACTCTTCACTATTCTCAACACGAGCACTCAAGTTTCTTATATCTTATACGTGGTCACAATATCTATTTCTTGTAGATTTTATCATTTTCTTATAAGTAAATCTATCCTTTTTAGTTTTAATATTTAATTGTGAATTTTATTGTTTTAGTATATGTATTTTGTTAACGTTTGTACTTGTTTAATTGTTATTTTCAAAGAAACTTGTAGTATGAATGTATAATTTTGTAGTTATTATAGTTTGTTTTAGATTTTATCAAATTATATTTGTGTGTAAATTGTTGAATTTTTTTTTGAATTACACCGAATTAAATGTGTTGTGGTGAAATAAATAAATAAATAATAGCTTGTTTAACGAGTCTTGTTTAATTGTTATCAATTCTATTTCTAAGTTGTGATTTCTATAAATTTATATATGTATAAATTTGTATGTATAAACGTTGATAGTTGACATTTGATAATGAATATTTAGCATACGTGTTGTTTTAGTTTGTTGGATAATGTCGGGGAAAACCAATATTTTTGTTATGTTTTATAGAGGTTCAATAGAAGTCATAGATGATCTTTTATGGATATATCGGGACTCACCCTAAGGATTGCGGAGGATGGATTATTGTAACGGTGTCCAGGGTTTTATTAATTGTGCAACATCTATTCCGAGAAATTTTACTGATGGCAGGTATTAAGTGTCCATGCAGGAAGTGTAAAAATTTAAAGTTTCTGTATCAAGATATTATAACGATGCATCTTCTAACCAAAGGGTTCATGGAGAATAATATGTGTTGGTATGCTCACAGAGAACTATTTGTTCCTGATGAGAGCATGGAAGAACAGGTGATTGGGTCAACTTCTAGTGTTAGCAACATGCACGAAGTTCGAAATGAGAATAGTAATCCTTACAGAAATATGATTATTGATGCAATGACAGTGAGTGAAGGTAATGTCAGGGAATGTTCAATCATAAAAGAAAAACCTAATACAGATGCAATAAGGTTTTTTGATCTGTTGAGAGATTCTGAGGAACTCTTATGGGATGGTTGTACGAGCCACAATAAATTATCAGTCGTAGCACAGGTGTTCACCATCAAGTCAGATCATGGGTTGAGTGAGGCCGAATATGACAAGATTATTGAATGAGCGAGAAACATTTTACCTGGAGGGAATAGGCTGAAAAAGAACTTCTATGTTGCCAAATCCATAATGAAACCCCTCGATTTAAGATACTAGAAAATTGATATATGCCATAACTTCTGCATGTTATACTACCTTAAAAATACTGAGATGACCAAGTGCATGACATGCGGGCATTCCCATTACAAACCCAAAACTAGTAGAGGGAAGACTCTCGTGGCATATAAAAAACTTAGATACTTTCCAATCACACCTAGACTGCAGAAGTTATTCATGTCACCAAGGACTGCTGAGCACATGACATGACACCAATCACACCATGCGGTTGATGGAGTGATGGTTCATCCTTCTGACGGTGAAGCCTAGAAAAACTTTAACAATATGCATCCTTACTTTTCAGCTGAATCAAGGAACGTGCATCTTGGATTGTGCACAAACAGATTCAACCCATTTGGGTCATTTGCTGATCCTTATTCTTATTGGCCAGTCATACTAACGATTTATAACTTGCTACCAGGGATGTGTTTGAGGTCGAAATTCATGTTTTTATCTATGGTCATACCAGGTCCCAGCAGTCCAGGGTGGAATATAGATGTTTGTCTTCGTCTATTGATTGATGAGTTGACACAGTTATGGTCCTTTAGAGCTTTGACTTATGACATATCGAGGAAACAAAATTTTGTTATGAGAGCGGCATTGATGTGGACTATCAATTATTTACTAGCTTATGGAATGGTTTCTAATTGGAGCACACATGGAAAGCTAGCATGTCCATACTATATGAAGAACAACAAGGCATTCACGCTAGCAAACGGGGGTAAAGCTTCTTTTTTTGACTATCATCGTCATTTCTTGCCACATAACCACAGGTATAGAAAGAACAGAAAGGATTTCTTTGTTGGCAGAGTTGAAAAGCATGTTGCACCCCAACATCTTTCTGGTGAAAAATTATTTGATGTTGTATTAGAGTATTGTGACATTGTGTTTGGTCTCCAATTAGGTAAACAAAAGTTTTTTGGTTTTGGTTTGACCTATAATTGGGTGAAGCAAAGTATCTTTTGGGAGCTTCCTTATTGAAAGACAAATCTTCTCCGCCATAACCTTGATGTCATGCACATTGAAAAGAACGTGTTTGAGAATATTTTCAACATCATCATGGATGTGAAGGGGAAGACAAAGGACAACATCAATGCTAGATTGGATGTAACGCTATTTTGTAACCATAAAAATATGGAGTTGGTTTGTGATGGGTCACGGGTCGCAAAACCAAGAGTAAGCTTCGTGCTAGAGAAAAACGCACAACTACTAGTCTACAAATGGCTTAAGAGTTTGCGTTTCCTCGATAGACATGCCTCGAACATATTAAAGCTGGTTAGTACGGAGGAATGCAGATTATATAGAATGAAGAGTCATGACTGTCATGTGTTTATGCAAACACGCATCCCATTAGCTTTTCGTGATTTGTTGTCAAAGGAGATATAAGATGCACTAACGAAGATCAACCATTTCTTTAGAGATATATGCTCCAGCAAGTTGAATGTTGATCACATTAAAAGACTTGAAAAGAATATCATCGACATAATATGCAAACTTGAGATGATATTCCTTCTATCATTTTTTGACTAAATGAAGCATCTACCAGTACATTTACCATTTGAGGTAAAAGTTGGAGGACCGGTCCAGTTTAGATGGATGTACCCATTCTAGAGGTTAAATATTACATGAGCTATGTAATTTATAATTAAATGTTTTTAATTGATAATTTTTTATTAATATATATATTAATAAAAAAAATAATCAAAGTTAATTATGTAATTATTCATATAAATTTGTGTAGATGTGTAGCATGAAATCTATAGCACGTTGTCAGAAAACAGTTGCAGCTAATTTTTCTAGCAGCGAGGAGGATGTATCCTTAGGTGCTGATCAAGGCAAGGAATCTACGTCAACTTGTGATGCCATCTCTTCTAGCACGATTTCACAACGCAGAAGTGGTGTGCCTTCACAGCGGGGTTAATTCACCAGAAAGTACCAGACACAATGGAAGGATGACCTCTCAATGTAAGTTTGTTTAGGTTTTAGTTTTTTTTATATATACTTATAACATAATTTATGAACAACTAATTAATATTACTACTTTTATTTAATTTCAGGTTCACAAACATTGAGGCTGTAAGGACTATAACATTGGCATTTAAATCATCGATCGAGATTCTATTGTTTCAATGGAGTCAGGTTTCTAGACATCCTGAGTGGAAACCTAATATCGATGCATGGTTTAAGCAATTTCAGGTCGGTGTTAATTTTTAATTTCCAACTTATTTTTAATAAATGATTTTTATACTTTTATATCTTGTACTATTTTTATTTTATATGAATTATTTATATACACAGAACAAATTTGAGCGGGATAGGATGGACACCAATGTTGTAAGAAGGGTATGTGAGAATCACGCGGCAATTAGGTAATATAAAAAATAATATTTATTTTTAATTTTTAATTTTATGTTTTAAATTCTAATTTGTTACTATGAAAGTAGGTTGCGTGATTTTTGGTATGACACCTAAAAAAATCAAAAAGACATGCGAGGGATAACGGTCTTGAAGGATGGAATAAGGTGGCGGTTTGGCAGGAATTCAAACCGCCATTCATCTCAGGGGAAATATAGACCGCATATATTGAGCACATGACCTCATAGCGGTTCTCACGACGCTTATAGTTCGGTGCCAACAATCGAAACTAGCAAATTCATGGTTCGGTGACCACGCACACTGGCAGATCGGTCTAATTCAGCGTACATGCAAAGCAGATGGTAAGATTAATTTTAATGAAATATATCATTAATTAATTTATCGTTCCTTATAGTATATTTAACTTTCAACCTATTTTTTTTTATAGGTTACGTCTCTTGGACGTGAGCCGAGTCCAATGGAGTTGTTTGTAGAGACGTATGTGTGGAGTAAAGACCGCCAAAAGGGGGTGCAACAATTCATGGACAACCATGCTCAGCACTTCGTGGTATGTTCGTTCATTCATTTTATTTTGTAAGTTATTATTTTCTTGAATTGTATCTTGAATTGCATTTGATGATTTTTTTACCGATGAAATTTTCAGGAGACCTATAATAGCCGATTGAGGAAGAGATATGGGGACCATTCTTCAACCCATCCAGATTTTGATCCAGATTTATGGATGGAGGTGGGATCATCTGGTGGACCCGATAAAAATCAGGTTTACAGGCTCTCCAACACTATGGCTGAAAACTTGCGTTGGGTTCATAGTGTCTTAATCGTTGAAAGCTCTCCATCAGTATCGAACACCCAGTCTGAGGAGTTCATTGCCTTGAAACAACAATATTAACAACTCTCGATGAATTATGATGACCTCCATCAAATAGTCATGGAGATGAGATCAAAGATGGGTGACGATCCTTGTGCAGCTCCTTTTTGGCAGTATGGTCCCGGGAACAACCAGCCTCCTCCTCCTCCAACTCCGCCGTTATTCTAGTTTAATTTTATTTTTTAAATACATTAAATTTGTAATGAATATTATTTAACATTACTTTTATATTTTTAATGTTTAATCCAATTTTATTTATTTATTAAGTTTTTTTACTATTAATAAATTATTATTTTTATATATTTCAAGTTCATACTGACGGACATTTTCCGTCGGTATTTCACAGAAAGTTGCCAAACAATTACTAGCCATGCCATAATTACCGTTGAAATTGCAGACAGATTTATTCCATCTGTAATGTTCTCATGGGAAACTTTTTTTTGGGCGCGGCGTATCCGTCTGTAAGACCGTCGATGAGTGTATTTTTATTTACGATAAAATTAGCGATGAAAATAGGAGTTACTGATAATTATTATACTGACGAATGTGTTCTATCGGTAATTATTTCACCAACAGAATTAATTCGTTGATAAATCTGTTTAATGATGTAGCGGAACAAAGAATGAGAGACTTGAAATCTAGATCGCTGCCCCGATGTTTTTTATGGAATTTTTTGAAATATAAAGTATACGTGTCATAATAATTAATGTAATAAAAATACATCTTCTCATTTGCTGAAGGGGGGAAGCGTCTTGTCTCAACTTCAACCTCAAGCTAGCAAACAACACAAGTGAATTTGGGCATGGGATAATGAATTAAGAAGCGTAGGATAATGAATTAAGGAAAAAAAAAAAGAAGGATAAAGCCTCGAAACATAATCATAAAGCTACCACTAAATTATACTACTTTAAAAGACTTGAAAAAAATATTATACAGGGGTATGAATTTATTAGAATGTGAATCATACCATAAACATATAATATTTATATTAGAAAGATATTGTAACATTAACAAGCATTGTTTTTTTTATTTTTTAATTAAAAAATATTATTGGGTCTGGCTTGGCTCTTTCACAGCCAAATTTAAGGAAAAACATTGTTCTGGTAAAATATATGTAGAGTATCTGTCCTATAAACATATAATATTTGCACTATAAACACCATTGGAGTATAAAGGACGTTGTCTTTACTGCTTTGGCACTAAGAAACATCGTTGAAGGAGTCTCCTTCTCTTTCCTGCCTAATTTAGATCATCTATAGTGCGATGGTGTCGTGGTTGTTAATGACATGTGACAGATTCCTTTCGCCTCAAAATCATCTTGATAACAAGATCACATAGTATTTGTGCATAAATCTGGTTTTCCTTATTGTTAGCTTGTGCTCGCTCATATGTAGTAAACATATTGACAGTATAATATAATAACATGGATTTTTTTTTCCTAGAGGCACCTTTGCTAGGTTTCTGTATTTTACTTCCACTATTTATAAAAAATTAAATAATGTGAATATATTAAAACATCTCTTAAGAATTTTGCTTTTTAGTAAGAGAATTTTTTGTGAACATGAACCATCCTTTTCTTATCAGAAACTCCTGGAAACTGTTAACATTAGAGCTCCTTTCTTCACCTTCTGAGTGATAGTTGATGACTCTATGGAGGACGGTCTTTTTTCCCTCTGATACAGAGTTTGAATGGCATTGGCTATTGATGAATTTCTCGCATGGAAAAACTTTTGGGCATTGGCTGTTAGATTCTGGTGGGTGTTTTGGATTAGATCTGAAGTCATATTCTCTGAATTATATTCATTAAGGGCATGGTATGGTCCTAGGTCCCTTGCATAAGCCTAGTGATATACTTAGTTAGCCTTAATAAATTTTAAACTAACAATGACACAATGTAATAATATCCAAGTTCTTGAACCGATTTAGTTTAAATTTTTCGTTGGCTCTTCCTTAACATTAAGGCTAAAAGAGAACTCATGGAGAATATGAAGCATAAATAACAGTATTTAGAGTATGATATCAATTTTAACAACGGAGAAAATTGCTTTAGGTTGATGCACTACTTTGAAGGTTTAAACTTGTGAAATCTACCCAGAAAATGGATAAATTCTTTGGTTGAAAATTAAAAATTTTTTTGCTGGAAATAATTCAATTTCATTGAAAATAAAAAGGAATAAAATTCTTGGGCATTGTACTTTAAGACTATTTTTTCCCATCCTACATGGATTGCTTCGATAGGTCCCTAGTGTTAAAATAATTAAAGATCAAACATAAAATGGAGGCTACAATTCTGATTAATCTTTGTATTATGAGTGTTTGATGTTAACCTAAATACATATAAACTATGTATAGGTTAAGCTGAAAATACTATTCTACCCTTAATAAATAAGATTACATAAATATTATTTAACATCTCCCCTCAAACTCACGATGC